CCCACCACCGCCGGGCCCTCGAAACATGGCTGCGGCGGGAGGCGCCGCCGCGGCGCCCGGCCCGGGCGGCCCCGCTCCCCGCCCCGCCGCGCCCTGAGCGCCCCCTCCCCCGCTTCCCCCGGGTCCCCCTCTCCAGGCAGGAAGATGTCCAAGCCCCGCGCGGTGGAGGCGGCGGCGGCGGCGGCGGCGGTGGCGGTGGCAGCGACGGCCCCGGGCCCGGAGATGGTGGAGCGGAGGGGCCCGGGGAGGCCCCGCACCAACGGGGTAAGCAGGCACCCTCCCCGCACTCAGCGGTGCGCCCGCCGGGCCCGGGCCGCGAGCACGTGGTCGCACCCGGGCCCCCGCCCGCGCCGCCCTGGGGCGACCGGCCGGGGCAGCTTCCTTTTCTGCTGCCTGGCTGGGAGTGGCGGCCACGCTGGGTTCCGCCATGACCCTAGCAGGGTTTGACCTCGAAAAAGTTTGACGGTGGCTCAATGTGGCTTTCCGCTCCCCGAGACTCAGCGTCTCCGGGGGTGGCCGCCTTCCCAGGGTGTGCGGGGCCTGCCTGGGTGCCCCCAGAGGGGTTGCCGGTTCTCTGACTTGGCGTTGGATGGATCACCAGGCAGCAAGGCCCGCATTGTTTCTGGGGAAGACCTCCCGCTATGTGCTCACTGGGAGGAGAGGCCCCACACCCAGAGACCTGCAGTGACCTGTACCCTAACCCTGTACCGACCTGCCCACTGTTAGTAGCCAAGTGCGGTTTTGCCTTAGGGTGACCGCCCTAAATGTTCTGACCCTGCTCTGCTTTCATTAGTCTCCCTCACCACCCTGGAGAATCTGCCAACCACAGTCCAGGGAGGAGGCTGGGTTGTGGTGATTTGAGAGGGGCCAGGCTGGGCACGCTGGAGGCTCAAGCAATATGACAAGCCTTCCCAGCTGATCTCAGGACCAAGTGATTAATCATGTTCCGTGAGGCCTTGTTTCTAAGTTAGAGTTGCTGCTCCTGCCAGGGAAGTTAACTTCTAAGCTCAGCCCAGCCCTCCAGATTGCCAGTAAGTTTTCCTTGGGTCACTTGGACCTGGTAGGTCAGCTTCCTCCTATGTAGACCTTGGTGTACAACTGGTTCTCCCTCTGACTAGATACCACCATAATTGGAGACCTCATGTGTTCTTGGATCTGGGGAAATTCTAACCCTGGCAGTGCTCCCCTGAGAATTGGGGCTGGCAGTCCCTTGTAGCTTAGTTGTTGTTGAGAGATAATGTCATTTGTCTTTTGTCTTTTTTTTTTTTTTTTTGGTACCAGGGATTGAACCCAGGGGTGCTTTACCACTGAACAACACATCCTCAGTCCTTTTTAAAAATTATTTTTTATTTTGAGACAGGGTTTTGCTACCTTGCTGAGGCTGGCTTCGAACTTGTGATCCTCCTCTCTCAGTCTCCTGAGTTGCTGGGATTACAGGCGTGTGCTCCCACACCCTGCTGTTTTTTGTATTCTTATTTCCCCTTCTCCTCTTAAATGCTATGAGATTTTCTTCTTTTTCAAGCCTCTTTCAGAATACTCATTTGTCTTTTTAGGAGAACGTATTTGCCGGGCAATCAAAGATCTATACCTACATGAGCCCGAACAAATGCTCTGGAATGCGTTCCCCCCTTCAGGAAGAGAACTCAGTTGCACATCACGAAGTCAAATGCCAGGGGAAACCATTAGCTGGAATCTACAGGAAACGAGAAGGTAAGTCTTCAAAATGGTCTTATTCTGATCTCAGCTGGTTAGGTTGCAGAAACCTCCTCCTTTGTAAGGACATATATGTGTATATGTTTATCCAGGCTTTCCAATCCTTAGTTTGAGAAATTTGAACTATGTTCCATCTTCCTGCTAAAAAACACAGGGGAGGGCTGGGGTTCTGTTTGCCTAGCACGTACTGGGTTCGATCCTCCGCACCACCTAAAAATAAATGAATAAAGATGTTGTGTTCATCTACAACTAAAAAATATTTTTAAAAAAATACAGGGGAGAGCTGTGGTTATGGCTTAGCGGTAGAGCGCTCTCCTCACACGTGCGAGACCCTGGGTTCGATCCTCAGCACCTCATAAAAATAAATAAGTGAAATAAAAGTATTGCGTCCAACTACAACTAAAAAATAAATATTAAAAAAAAAAAAAAAAAACAGGAAAAGAGTAGCCTATCCCAGGGCGTGTGCCCTGTTGGTCCAACAGGTTCTCCCTGCCTTCAAAGGAGTCAGCATGTCCTTCAACTTGTCTTGCCAAGTTACAAACTAATGCGCCTGACCCACAGTTAGAGAACCTAAGTGTGAAAAGTACAGATGGTGTAGACAAGGCGATCATGTGCTGTGTGAATACAGGGGATCAACTTTGTTCCCTTTGGTGGGCCTTGACTCCGTTTCTAAAGTTTCTTTCTACCCAAATATTCAGCATTACTGTCTAAAGCAGCATACTCTGCAACAGGATGTGGAATTGAAGTGCTGAGGGAGAGCTGGGGTTTAGCCCCGTCATAGAGCCTAGCACACATCAGACTCTGGGTTTGGTCTTCAGCATGGCAAAATAATTAATTAATTAAAACCAGAAAACGCATGATTATGTAAAATTCTGTCTGGTCCTGCAATCAAGCTAAGAATCTTACTCTCATCCAAATATTCTCTTTTGGAACTTCAATAGGGAGCATGAGTTCTTTCCCAACTAGTTAAAACCTGCCTGACAGGACCAGAGCCTCTGGCTCCCAGCGGCTCCATGGGGGAAGCCTTGTATTTGCCGACAGATAACATCCTAAGTGATGATGGAGCCTGACCTCTGGGGCCAGATCTGAGAACCAGGCATGGAGGCTGGAGCCTGCCCTCAGCTTGATTTCCCCCAGTACACAGAGTGATACTATTTTAATCTCAGATGAGTTGGGTTCTAATCCTAACTGCCATCTAGAAGGAGGAGCCAGGGAGGTTGCTTATCTTCTGCGAGCCTCGAACCTTGGTTGTCTCATCTGTAAGTTGGGAAAGAGCAGTCCTACCTCACCTGCAGGCTATCTAGAGGATCAATTTCAGCATAGATGCAGAATGGCTTTGTGATACTCTCTAGATGCCAGCTTTCCCCACTGCCAGCATCACATCCTTGCTCATTCCTGTTCCTGCAGCACTTAGGATAGCACCTGCCACTCAGGTGTGGGACAGGAAGCTGTTGTGGTAGCCAGCCAGCCTCACATGTATTTTGGGATAGGACAAAATGTATGTTGTCCCAAATAAGCTAACTTATTTGGCTAATGGTGTTACCAACTGGCAATGATTAAAATTTGGAGTCAAATGTACTTTGGAGACCCCAAGGGCCAGGCTCTTACCCCTAGTTCTACCATGGCAGACTGACCGCAGAGGGAATATTCATGGGGACTCCTGCCACACTGACCCCAATATTCTGAGGTTCTACTCAAGAAGGCATGTAAGGGAGTGAAAATGATCAGGATTGATATTGTCAGAACCCACTGACAATCTGTAATTCCTGGTACAGCAGAGATGCTTAAAAAAAGACACGCACACACACATTCAGTAGAAAATGAGCACCGTCTTTACTTTTTTCTCTCCTCCTTTTATACAGCATTGTTAATTAAAACAAGGGAAAAGTAAAAACATCCTTTCGGCAGCTTAATCCTTTTAAGCATGGATAAACATTCTCAGGAAAACTCTGTTTATGGTCATAGTGCTCCGTACTTCTTATCATTTAACTTGCAGTTAGTTATTCCCAGGCAAAAACATATATAAGCAAAACTTAACTGTTTGTGTGCGTGAGCACACATGATATACTTATTTATTTTTTTTATTTATTGAGCTGTAGTTCGTGTATCATAAAGTTGAACATTTTAAAATGTACAGTTCAGTGGTTTTGAGTATAGCCACAGATTGTGCAACTATTATCGATGACTGATTCCAGAAGATTTTCATCATCCTTAAAAGAAACCCATGAGGGCTGGGTTGTGGCTCAGTGGTAGAGCACTTGCCTAGCATGTATGAGGCCCTGAGTTCGATCTTCAGCACCACATAAAAATAATGTAAGTTAGGCTGAGTTGTGACTCAGAAGTAGAGCGCTTGCCTGGCACATGCGAGGCCCTGGGCTCAATCCTTAGCACCTCATACAAATAAAAAGAAGAAGCCCATGAAGAGCAGTCAGTGTTCTACTCCCTGACTCCCCCAACCCTAGGCAGCCACACACTACTTTCTGTCTGGCTTTGTCATGGTCATTTCATATCAGTGGAATCATATTCAGATAACCTTCTGTTTCTGGCTCTTCATGCAGCAGTGGTATTTTCAAGGCCCATTTGTGTTGTAGTGTTTTGTGCTTCATTCCTTCCTGTGGCTGAATCTCAGTCTACTGTGGATGGACCACGTTGTTTAATCATTCACATGTCGATGGACATTTGAATTGTTTGTACTTTTTGGCTGTTATGAATGAGCTTCTGCATTCTTGTACAGATTTTTGTATAGACATATGTCTTTAATTTTCTCGAGTAGTTGCCTAGAGTAGCATTACTGGGTCATATGGTAGTTCTATGTTTCATGTTTTGAAGAAATGTCAGAAGGTCGTCCAAAGTGGCTGTGCCATTTTACATTCCTACCAAGAGTATGTTACTTTAAAAAGTAAATCATTATGGGGGCTGGGGTTGTGGCTCAGTGGTAGAGCACTTAACCTAGCATGTGTGAGGCACTGGGTTCAATCTCCAGCACCACATATAAATAAATGAATAAAATAAATGTCCATCAACATCTTAAAAAAAAGTAAGTCATTAAAAAATTGTTTACAAGGCTTTGAGTTCAGTCCCCAGCACCACACACACAAAAAAACACAAACCAAAAAAAAAAAAACCCTGTTCCCTAACACTGGGGCTCCAGGCTTGTCAAGAACACACTTACAGTGCGACTATCAGCTTGCCAGCCTGTCCACCCCACCGTGCCAAGAGCCACTGTGAACGTGGGGCTTCAACCCTCTTTGGACAAGACCTGTTAGGTAGGCTCAGTGGCACGTGCCTGTAATCCAAGCTACTTGGGAGGCTGAGGCAAGAGAATCACAAGTTCTAGGTCACCCTCCACAACTTAGAACCTGTCTCAACATAAAAATTCAAAAGGACCAGGTGTGTAGGTCTGGGGTTGTGGCTCAGTGGTAGAGAGCTTGCCTGGCATGTGTGAGGCATTGGGTTCGATTCTCAGCACCACATATAAAAATAAAATAAAGGTCCATTGACAAGATATTTTTGAAAAACTAAAAAATAAAAAGGACCAGGTGTATAGCTCAGTGGTAAAGTGCTTGCCTAGCATCTGTGAGGCCCTGGGTTGCATCCCCAGCACCACAGATAGAAAAGAAAAAGAGGAGAGAAGGAGAACTTGTTTTGTCAAGCATCTGAAAGGATGCATGCTGGGCAGTGCTTGGACAGAGTTTCTCCTTTGTCCCCTACTTGCATGGACCAGGACTATCGTGCTTTAGGAAGTGAGCTTGTTTTTTGGGATCTGAAACCTAATTCCTAAAATCGGTTGATTGGGTGCTCCTGCCACTGTTGCCGTCCGTGGTGCTTTGCCTCACAGGCTCTCTCCCCTATCAAGAGGCAGAAGGCCAAATCCTCTGCCTGGTGGGTCAGAGACTAGAACCAGGCACTTCTGCCTTAATGGCGTGGTGGGCCCTGGCTCAGTAGGCTGGGCATTGCTGCCTGAGGTTCTCATGATCCTCTGTCTAAAGATTGGAAGACGCGGAGTAGAAAATAAACCCGTCTTTTCCCACCCTCCCCTGCAGAGAAAAGAAGTGCTGGGAATGCCATCCGGAGCTCCCTGAAGTCCGAAGAACAGAAGATCAAAGACGCCAGGAGAGGTCCCCTGGCACCTTTTCCAAACCAAAAATCTGAAGCAGCAGAACCTCCAAAAACTCCAACCTCGACTTGTGATTCTACCAATGCAGCCATTGCCAAGCAGGCCCTGAAAAAGCCCCTCAAGGGAAAACAGACCCCTCGGAAAAAGTAAGTCCCCTCAATCTCTCCTCCCAGAGCAGAGCAGTTTGACTCCTGTGACCGCCAGAAGGCTGCTTGGGTGCCCACTGGGGTTCAGCAGTCCATCTTCTCAGCCCCTATCGGGCAGAGGCTCAGACCCCTGTGGCCTCATCCTGGTGTCCTTGTATGCCAGCACCTCAGTGTGGCCTGAGCCGACAAGGCCTGCTCTGCCTGTCCCTCCCTGATGAGAATAGACAGTCTGTACTTTGTCTCTGAGGCCCCCCGGGCAGGTGAGCTGATGTGCCACCAGGCCCCAGTGGGCAGAGGTGTTAGGTGACATTGTGTCCAAGGTGCCACCTCTTAAGGAGCTGTATTGGTGTGGTTTCAGGCCTGATGGTTGCTTTCTCCTCTTCTCACCCAGAGCTCAAGGAAAAACGCAACAGAATCGCAAACTCACGGACTTCTACCCTGTCCGGAGGAGCTCCAGGAAGAGCAAGGCCGAGCTGCAGGTAGAGTTGGGTGGCGTGGCCCCCCGGGCCTGGGCTTCATGCTGTCATCTTGGGCCAGGCCTCTTGTCTCTCTGGAGCTGGTTTTGCCCTCCCTGTAGCAGGGGTCACCAAGAGCTTGCTGGGGTCATCGGGGGCTGCAGTTGGGAGGCTTCTGTGAAGAAGCTCAACCTATATCATAGGGCACAGAAAGCCAGGTGTTCTTGTCAGGGTGGCTTTTCCAGGACTTTGGCAGAGCCATTTGGAGCTGGAATTGTGGGAAAGGCCACCTCTTCTTTCAGAGGCTTGCCCTATCTGTAATCTAAAAGTTTCCATGTTGTTGTTCAGGATAGTAAAGAGCAGCGGTTGGAACCATTTCCTGATTGTGCAAGCACAGGTCGGTCACCTACCCTGCCACACGCTCCTATCTGTAGAATGAGGAGATAAAGTAGTGCCTGGCGTGGTTGGTGAGGGGAATAAAGAAATGGGTTCAGATGTGGGGGACACAGGACTGTGCCCGTTCCACAGTGAGGCCAGTTAACTGTGACTATCGTCCCCATTGCTTCCTAGCCAGCTGGGAACATGCAGAATGAGTGGAGAACTCAGGCAGAAAGGCCAGGCAGCCTGTGGCAGCCACACCCGCATGTGCCATGCAGGGGGCTGCAGTGTCCTGTGTGCTGCAGTGGGCGTGGCCACTGCCTTCCTGTTCCGGAACTGCAGGGTGTGGCCGGGCCCCAACACACAGACACACACACACACACACCCTGACTCCCCTCCCACAGCCCTCTCGACCTGGGTGCTCAGGATCATCTTCCTGCACAAGGAGGAAGCCCAGCTGGACAGTGTCTCTGCCTCAACCTTTCCAGACTCCTCTAGCACGTGTTATGTTAAATCTGCAAATGTAGATACACAGATCTACCATGCTTTTATTTTTAATTGAGGGAGCTTTATTTAAAAAAAGAAAGAAAGAAATTAAAACAGGGTCCATTTTTCTAACCCCAGAGAACTACTTTGGCTTTATTTTTGGAGAATGGCAGTTTCTTTTGGCCAAGAAGGAGCTGTTATAAAACAGGCCGGCAGTGGGAGGCTGTGCTTGTCACTGCCAAATGTAGTGATGCAGAGGGAGGGCGGGGCCTGCCCAGCGGACTCCTCCCAGCCAGGGCTGGAGCTGCAGGCTGGGGCTCCCGTCCAGGCAGCTGAGTTCACCTTGTTGTACTAGGAAGCCAGGGGTCTTGGGCCTGGAGGAGAGAGGAACGCAGTGGGGTCTGCTCAGTCTTGGAGTACATGCTGGGGAGGGAAGGTGCATGTGCTTCTCAGAGCTTGGGCTGCAGACACAAAAAGCTCGTTTGGGGACAGACCAGGAGCCAGTTGTGAGCAACAGCTGTGCTGTGCCCTTCCCTGTGTGTGTGTGGGCTCTGCCGAGTGAATGCTGGGCTGTTGCTGCCCATGGCAGTAAGCCTGCTGTTGGCCAGGGGTGAGGCTGTCTCTGTCCCAGCCAATGTGGCTGTTGTGGGCCTGGGTGTGTACTCTCTTGAGTGTGCAGAGGAAACCCCAGGGTGTGGCCAGTGGGGCTTGTCTGAGCGGTGAAGTTGGTCTGACCTCACTGCCCTTCAAGGCCAGCAGGAACTGGGCCCAGGCTGGGGTCCAGGTAGGTGGGAGTGAAACTGAAATGAAAACCTCTGAGACATTTCACTGAGCTTGGAGACAAAGTGGGGGATGGGTAGCTGGGTCCAGGGTCCAGGCTGAGGCAGGAGAGAGGAATCAGGCTGCAGGATTTGAACTCGGGATGGGTCCTAGGTAGTTACCTTCAGCCGTGCTGTGCGGAGGGGCCCCAAGGCTGGCTGGCCTGGGTGTGGACAACATGGCAGCCACACTGGGTTGCGAGCTCCACCTTTTGGCAGCCCTTCCTAATTCCCTACCAGCCCCAGGGCTGGACCTGTGGTGTCACTGCCGATCCCACCCTGGCACTGTTAAAGGCATCTCCTTCTGTCCACAAGCCCCCCTCACCCTCACTCAGGCCCTGCCAACACCACTCCATGTGCTGGAGGCCAGCTTGTATTCTGCCAGAACTCTCCTTAGGAAGCCCAGAACTAACTGCTTGCAGGCCTTGGGCTTCTGGCCTTGAACCAGATTCCAACTCCCTGGCTCTGTGTTCAGGGCATCTAGCTGCTCGGGGTCCTCTAGGCCGCGTTCAGTATCAGCAGGAAAATTCCAATTACCTGTCCCCGGTTTTCCACGCCTGCTCCCATGTATGTGGCCCCCCGCCGTCCCTCATCTGTACACTTTAGCCATCACTACGAGTAAGGTGCATGTGGTTGCTAAAGGGGTTTGTTTGCTCTACCTCCAGGTCCTAGTCAGGATTCTCCAGTGGGAGCAGGGCAGGCTCCTGTGCTCCTGGAGCTTACATTCAGGTGGAGAATGAGTAGCAATTTAAAAAGACCATTGTGCTAAGGACAGTAGTGCAGGCCTGTAATCCCAGGCCCTCGGGAAGCTGGGACAGGAGGATCACAAGTTGGAGGACAGCTATGATAACTTAGTGAGACCCTGTCTCAAAATAAAAATCAAAAAGGGCTCTGGAGGCCTGGGGCTGTAGCTCAGTGGTAGAACGCTTGCATAGCATGTGTGAGGCACTGGGTTCAATCCTTAGAACTACATAAAAATACACAAATAAAATAAAGGCATTCTGTCCATCTGTAACTACAAAAAAAAAAAAAAATTAAAAGAAAAAGGGCTAGAGCTCTAGCTCAGTGGTAGAGGACCCCTGGGTTCAATTCCTAGGACCACAATACATTTTTTTTAAAAGGGCAGTGAATGCAAAACCCCATGGCAGGAGCAAGCTTAGCCTTGGAGGGGCATCTATGAGGCTGTGGTGGGCTCGGGGTAGGTGGGCATAGGGGCTGGGAGGGAGATCTGGATCTTGCAGAACCTTCCAGACCACAGAGGAAAGTCTGGGTTTTTATCCCAGTAGCAGTAGAACCTTTGTTTTTGTTTAAATGAACTTTTAATTTTGTAATTATTGTTTTAGATTTATAGAAAAGTTGCAAAGATAGTACAGAGAGTCCCCACAGAGGCTTTGTTACTCTGGTAAATTTGTCACAACTAAGGAGCCAGCTCTGGGATGTGAGTGCCTACTCTGAAGTCAACACTGCAGTGGCCGATCTCTTCGACCTTTTCAAAAGACTGCTCCCGCTGCTGAGTGCAGAATGGGGTGTGGGGTGGCAGAGTGACAGCCAGGAGACCAGCAAGGTGTGGCTTGAGTGGAAAGGAGGCAGAGACCTGTCCCATTCACCAGTGTCCCCAACACATCACAGTGTCTGGCCCACTGCAGGTGTAGAGAGCTGGTTCAGGGAGAGCTGGTCTCTGCTGTCCCTTTAGGCGGAGGTCTGCTGCTGCGCTGAGCTGGCCTGAGGCTGCTAGTCGGACTTCAGCAGGGCCCAGCTCCATAGGAAAAGGGAGACTGGGAATGTCCACTCTTCCAGCTTCTCCACTCAGGGCCATGTGGACCCTCTGGCGGGGATGCCCCTTGTCCATGGCCGTGGCTCCTGTGGAGATGCAGAGTTCTGTGGGCCTCACAGAGGTGATGGGCAGGGAAGGGTATGGAGCACACGTGTCCTCTAAAGGGCTCAGCCTCTAACCTCCTACAGTAATTATGTATGGAGTTAGATTCCTGCTACACGCTGAGAAGAACATATCTAGAAGGCCCTGTGTTAGCTTTCTGCATCAGACACCCGAGATGGTCAGCGTATAGTTTGATTTTCTGTTTTTACCTCATAGTTTAGAGGTTTCAATCCATGACCCCCATGGCTTTGGGTTAGCCAGCATGTCACAGAGCAAGTATGTGACAGCAAAACCACTCCCCTTATAGCCAAGAAGAAGAGAGGCGGAGGAAGGGCTGAGGTCCTACTGTGCCCTTCAAGAGCATGTCCCCAGTGACCAGAAGACCCCTTCTAGCTCCTGCTTCCTCAGGGTTTCACTGCCCCCCAGTAGTGCCACACTGGGGACCACACCTTTAACACATGGGCCTTTGGGACATTTAAGATCCAAGATATGACAGACCCCCTCTGCCCTTGGGCCAGCACTGGGTCCCTCCTGCTCCAGGTGAAGCTGGTTCCAGGTGACAGTTGTCCACAACAGATGATGATGAAGAAAGGAGGGTGCTTGGGGCTTGGGCATCTCTGGGGACCCATGTCACAGAGACCAGCCATGGCCCTGTGGTGTAGCCTAGAGTAAATGCTGAAACTGCTCTTTTCTCCTCCACCCAGTCTGAAGAAAGGAAGAGAATAGATGAGCTGATTGAAAGTGGGAAGGAAGAAGGCATGAAGGTAAGGGTGGTGATGCGTGCTGGGCTTGCGGGGTTCTGTCCTCCTTCCCAGGGCCCCAGGATTGTGGCTAGCAGCCCTGTTGCCTTTATTGAGGTGTCACTGACAAGTCAGATCAAAAAGCCAGGTAGGAAAACTGTTGTATGAAGGGAGCATGGATGGGCTTCGTATGTAAATGTTATCCTGAGAAACTTCTTAAAAAATTGTAAAATACCCATAACATTTATTATTTAAACTAATCCCAGCTATTCACGAGGCTGAGGCAGGAGGGTGGCAAATTTGAGGCTAGCCTGGGCAATATAGTGAGACCATGTCTTAAAAAAAAAAAAAGACTGGGGATGTGGCTCAGTGGTGAAGCACCCTTGGGTTCAGTCCCCAGAACCACACACACATTAAAAATATGCATGCCTTTAAAGTGAATGATGCAGGGGCATTTAGAACATTCAGTTTGGGCAGCCAGCATCCCTGTGTACTTCCAGAGCTGCTTCATCTTCCCAAATGGGAACTTGGTACCTTATGCCCACCATTCCCCCACCAGCTCCTGCCCGCCACCGTCTGCTGTCTTCTCCACAGAAGTGACTCTCCAGTCCACACCCATGGAAGCTCATAGTGTGTGGCCGGTTGCACCTGGCTTCTTTCACTTGGCAACACGCCTGGGCAGACTTTTCAAAGAGCAGCTGAGTTTGTCCTGACCTTTCCCACATGACCATGTTCATGACCTTTGCTTTTCTCTGTGTGTGTGCATGTATAAGGGGAAGGTTAATCCTGAACCCAGGACCTCATGCATGCCAAGCACACACTACCCCTGAGCTCCACCCCTGGCCCTTAGTGTATTTCAAACACAAGTGGCTCTGTCAGGAGGGGGTTACTGCCCCACTCTGTGGGGACTGGGAGCCAAGGGACAGAAGGCTTCCTTTCCACCCACCATCTAGGAGGATCCAAACTTAAGCCTTGGGCCCCTCAAGCAGCTACCCTCGGACTCCATTTATAACAGAGCAAGGACAAACATGGAGGGTAAAGGAAGGAGTGCAGGAGAGGCCAGGACACAGGCCCTGCTCCTTACCCAGAGCACAGTGCATTGTGGGCTGACTTCCCACTGCACCCCTTCCCAGCCTGTGGCCTTGGACACGTGGCTCTGCCTCAATGTCCTCATCTGCCAGATGGGGCAGTACCCACCTAGCAGACTGCTGGGATCTGATGGAACAGTGCTGTGCAGATGGACGTGGAGGTGCTCTGCAGGGGCGTGGAAGGCACCTACAGTTGCATTGCAGTTGCACAGCCATGTGCTCTAAGTGAAGCCCCTGCAGCCATGCCCCGGCAGGAGTGGATTTTGTTTTTATTGAGGCCTAGCTCAGTTAAGCTGGTTAAGAACATGCAAGGCTCCAGGAAGCCCTCCAGGCTTGGTAGCATCCATCAGGCTTATCAACCAACAACACTCTTGTCACCTCCTGACAGATTGACCTCATTGATGGCAAAGGCAGGGGCGTGATCGCCACCAAGCAGTTCTCCCGGGGTGACTTTGTGGTGGAGTACCACGGCGACCTTATCGAGATCACTGACGCCAAGAAGCGAGAGGCTCTGTATGCACAAGACCCCTCTACGGGCTGCTACATGTATTATTTTCAGTATCTGAGCAAAACCTACTGGTAAGTGCACTATTTGAGTGACTTTCCCACCTTCTGGGCACAGAGGACGACCACAGGGCCAGGAACCGTGGAGGGCTCCCTGTGCATTGGTCGGGCTGGCCCTGTAGTGCTTGCTGTCTGTATCCAACTGTGATGCAGTGCTCCCTGTTTTTAATATTTGGGATTAGAGACATCCTAGAGGCCATTTCATCTGGCCAGGAGCAGAGGTGTCACACAGAAACCTGCTGGCAGCTCCCCCGACCTCTCCTTGGGGCACCTGGCTGGAGGACCACTCTCTCCTATGCCCAATGGGTTTGATTTTTATCCATTTATTTATTTTGCAAACTCTGCAGCTACCTCTGGTGCCTCCATAAAGAGCCATTTGGATTCTACCCCTAAGCCCCCACCCAGGGCCACTCCAGGCTCTCAAAAGTCACTTTTTGAATTGAATTGCCCAAAATGTGGCTCTAGATTGAGATGCCACCAGAGCGGAGCTGGCGCAGCTCTGCCGGATCAAAAGCCTCTTTATCACTTTGATGCCCTCTTGCCCCCTCCCACCAGCGTGGACGCCACCAGAGAGACAAACCGCCTGGGAAGGCTGATCAATCACAGCAAGTGCGGGAACTGCCAGACGAAGCTGCACGACATCGATGGCGTGCCTCACCTCATCCTCATTGCCTCCCGCGACATCGCAGCCGGGGAGGAGCTGCTGTATGACTACGGGGACCGCAGCAGGGCCTCCATTGAGGCCTACCCATGGCTGAAGCATTGACGCCATCGGCTTCCTCACCCGCCTCCCTTCTTCAAAGGACAAAGTGCCCTCAAAGGGAAATGATTTTTTTTTACATACTTAATCTTAGCGGAGTACTTCAGATCTTTTTAAAAAGTATATTAAGATGCCTTTTCACTGTAGTATTTAAATATCTGTTACAGGTTTCCAAGGTGGACTTGAACAGATGGCCTTATATTACCAAAACTTTTATATTCTAGTTGTTTTTGTACCTTTTTTGCATACAAGTTGAACGTTTGTGCTTCCCGTGCATGCAGTCAAAGACTCGGCACAGGTTTTAGAGGAAAGAGTCAAAC